CAAAAAAAAAAAAAAAAAAAAAAAAGTTGAGAAATACTAGACTAGATCACCTCCAGGGGCCTTTCCACCCTCAGATTCTCTAAGCTTCCAGTTTTCCTGGAATAGTGAGTGGCACGGGGAAGGAAAGACTAACAGGCTCAGAGACGGTGAGTAGCAGAACCAGACCAGACCAGGCCCCAGGTGTCCGGTCTCCAAGGCCCCCTTGCTGCTGAACCAGGCTGCAGGCAGTCACAGAGACAGCCTGTGGGCCAGAAAGGAGAGGGAGAAAAGACCTCACAATTCATAGAAGAGCACTTCTCTTACCTTCAATGCGGGGGAAGTCATTCCTTGGGAGGGGCTGCAGAGAGACAAAGGAGAGGCTATCAACACAAGTCACCTTCCACTCCTAGAGAACCACACCCCTGCCTCCGGGGCGCTGGGAGGGGAGGGAGACACACTCCACAGATCCCATGCCCTGTCAAGCCCAAGCCAAGGGGAGCTGGAGAGGACTGAGGAAGACGCAGAGAAAGGAGAAAAGACAACGGCCAGGTGGGCCACAGAACAGGCGGAATACCGCATGTGAAGTCACCAGGAGAAAGGGGGTCAGCTGTCTTTCTCCGGTGGGAGAGGACACAAGATACAGCCAAGCAAGGCTCTAGAATCAGGCAGCTAAGGATGCAGGTGCATCAGGGCCCGCTGTCGGTTCTCGAGCAGGCAGCTTCACTCGACCAGCCTCAAGGGTCCATTCCATCCCCAGGTCATGTAAGTCTTGGCTCTGCCACTAACCAACTATGTGGCCCGAGGGAGGTCACTCCCCTGTGTGGGGCCGTCCCTGAGCTATTCTGAGACCTGTTCCAACTCTGACATTCTGGTTCTCCACAGAACTTGCACAGGTCAGGGGGAAGGCCCTCACAGTGGAGGAAGTGCTCTGTTCCATCAGAAACCTCTGGAGGAGGAAGGACTTAAGCTCTATCAACAAATAAAAGTCAGCTATCTGTTTATAACTACATGCCCTCAAACTGTGAGAGCAGTCTGACTTCAGACCTGGGCTACGTATACACAGACAGTGCGACGTGGAGAAAGTGAGCCAGCAGGCACCTCAAGAGATGGCAGTCACGCTGCAGAGGATCCCCAGGGATCACAAGAGAGACAGGGGACAAAGCCAGTGTTCAAAACTGAGGCTGCACACAGGGCACCTAGGCAGGTGTGCAGACTGGCCAGTGCTCCCTATGCAAGCACCTCTCCCGAGGGCAGCTCAGAACCGGGCCACAGGATAGCTCACCTTGCAACAGCCAGCGGCTCTCCTGGGCAGCACTGGGAAAGCCAGCCAGCAAGTCCCGAACTGCTTGTTGGAGGGGAGGCTGGGGCTCTGAAAGGGTTCCCAGCTAATTACAAACAATGCAGAGAGGACAGGCGTAAAGCCTGCGCTTCTCCGGGCTATTTTCTTTTTCTTTTTCTTTTTTTTTTTTTTGAGACAGTCTCAGTCAGTGGCCAAGGCTAGAGTGCAGTGATGTGATCACAGCTCACTGCAGCTTCCAATGTCTGGGCTCCAGCAACCCTCCTGCCTCAGCCTCCTGAGTAGTGGGGACAATCGGCATGTGCCACCATACCTGGCTCATTTTCTTTCTGTCTTTGAGACAGAGTCTCACTCTGTCACCCAGGCTAGAGTGCAATGGCACAATCTTGGCTCACTGCAACCTCCACCTCCCGGGTTCAAGCGATTCTCCTGCCTCAGCCTCCCGAGTAGCTGGGATGACAGGCATCTACCACCATATCCAGCTAATTTTTGTATTTTTAGTAGAGACGGGGTTTCGCCATGTTGGCCAGGCTGATCTGGAACTCCTGACCTCAGGACATCCGCCCGCCTTGGCCCCCCAAAGTGCTGGGATTACAGGCATGAGCCACTGCAACCGGCCAATTATTTTTATTTTTTTATAGAGATAGGGTCTCACTATGTTGCCCAGGCTGGTCTTCAACTCCTGGGCTCGACCAGTCCTCCAGTTTCAACCTCCCAAAGCATTGGAATTACAGGTGTGAGCCACCATGCCCAGCCTCTGAACCATTCTCATAAATCCAGGGAACAAAAAACCCTTAGCCAGATGTGCCTCCAAGGAGTCAGTAGTCATGCAGAGGCACAGAAAAAACACAGCTCTACAGGAGGGCTTGCAAAGTGAGTGACAAAGCCAATGTAGGGCACTGGTGACGTGCAGATGACACAGCCCAACCTGTGCCCCTTATTACCGTGGTCTTCGGCCGCCGCTCCAGGTCCACCATGTCAAGCAGGGGGAAGGCCATCCGCAGCTCATCCATGGTAACAACATTCCGGAAGCCCAGTCTGGAGCGAGTTCAGGGAAGTAATGCTGGACAGTTCTGGGGGAAGATGCCTTTCTGAATGCATCAAATCACAAGTGAAGGGAACACAACCCAGTCCTGATCAAGCCAGGCAGGAGGGCAGCAAGCAGAGCCCAGCAAGGATGGCACAAATCCTGCAGATGCTGGCAGGCAGGCTGCAACTGCACAGGTAAAGAGGGCAGCTCCTGGGCAACCCACCAACAGTCACCAGGCACATGCCAGGTACCAGGTCCTATGCTGGGCACAGCACAGAGGGCAAAAGCACGTAAGAATCTGTCCCCAGCTGAGTGCAGTGGCTCATGCCTGAAATCCCAGCACTTTGGGAGGCTGAGGCAGGAGAATTGCTCGAGCCCAGGAGTTCCAGGTCATTCTGGGCAACATAGTGAGCCCCTGTCTCTACAAATAAAACAGTCAGCTACACACGGTGGCATATGCCTGTAGTCTACTCAGGAGTCTCCTCAAGAGGCTGGGGCAGGAGGATCACTTGAGCCCGGGGGGTCAAGGCTACGGTGAGCTATGATTGTGCCACTGCACCCCAGCCTGGGTAACAGAGTGAGACCCTTTCTCAAAAAAAAAAACCAAAAAAACAAAAAAAAGAAAAAACTGTCCCCAAGGAGCCCAGCACATTCATAGCCCATCAAAACCAGTGTTCTAAGAACAGTGCTGCCAGTCAGTGCTGAGCTCAGAAGAGACTCCTCCGTGGGCTGGGGAGTCCAGCGGAGGGAGGAGGGCTGGAGCGAAAATCTTAAAGGATGAACACAAATCAGCAAGGAAGAAGAGACCCTAGGGAGGGCCAAGCCAGCTTCAGCCTATCTCCTCTAAGATCTGCCTCCATCTTCCTGTCCTCAATTTCAACTCGCAGTCCTAACTGGACGTGGTTTTGGATTACCCTCAAAATGAATTTCCCAAAAATCCTGATTCTATCAGATTGCCCCATCAGCAATAAAGCCTGCCCTGCCCTGCCCTGCCCTCCACTGCCCTCCACTGCCCTGAGAAGTTGGTCAGACTCCTCAAGTTTACTTCCAAGGTTCCCGACACCCTGGCACCACCCTTCCTGTTCTCATTCCTCTCCCTATCCCATTCCAACCTCCTAATTCCCCTGCCTGGGAAAGCTTAGCCATCTGCTGGGCTCCACCGTACCCCTCCAAGAAGCCAAGGCAATTCCTGCCCCAGGGATGCTCCGTTGCTTCCCCCAACACCCGTGGCACACATGAGGACTGACCACACTCGGGAGCTGTCCTCCCTCCCGAGCCCACAGCATCACCCATGCACCCCAGCACCCAGCATCCCTCACCACAGTCCCCACTCAGCTAAGGGAGGAAAGGCTCCAGCCCTGCCCCTTCCCTTCAGCCAGAGTAAGACCAAAAGGATACCCCCGGGCATTTTCCACCACAGGCCCCTGCCCAGACACCAGCATCCGCTTCTCGTGGTACTTTGAGAAGAGCTTCATGGGGCTGTGAGAGAGGATAACTTGGTCTGCATCCACCTGCAGGGACAGCCAGGACAGGGGAGGGCAGAGGAAGACAGAGCCATTGAGGAAAATAATGAGACAGGTGACAGGCCCTTTAGCCTAGGGAAGGGAAAACCCGCTCAGGAAAAGAACAGACACAAAGCCCTTTCTAGCACCCAGCAGCACTTCTAAAATGCACCCCACCAGATGTGAGAAGAACCCATCTCATTTGGTTCTTGCCACACGAAACAAGAGACCAGAAATGTCACAGATGTGGGTTCTGGCCACTTGCCACCCTGTCAGGTTGAGCTAGATTTCCCAGGCCCCCGCCTGGAGGCCACAGGGCTCACGTGTGCTGCCTGTCACTGTCACAGAAATCGGTCTTTTACTTTCTATTTTCAGTTCTGCTTAAAGACTTCGCTTCTTAACATTTATACTAACCCTAACAATGCAGCCTTTACTTAAAAGGTTTTTGGAATTCTCTCTGGAAACCACAGCAAGGAACCAATTTTATACCCTCACGTTTTACATTCAACTTGGAGCAACAGCATCTCATCAATCAGCCACTTTATTTACTCTCCTGGTTCCAGAGGACTCCTTCCCAAGCTGAATTCGCCCTCAATGAACAAGAATGCATCAAAGTTGGGATATGGTGCAGGGCTGCAGGTGACTGAAGGGGACAGCACTCCTTCAGGTGCACACATCCTATTCAGGAAAGCCAAGGTGTGACTTCAGATTTGCACCTGCTATGCCTGCTGTGCAAAGTTCTACACGTGTGTGCGACCTTAGCTTTCCAGGGACCCACATCCTAAATGCCCAAAAGAAACGAATACAAGGACGTAAACTAAAACTGCCAAATACACAGGCAGGATTTTTGTGTTCTGCGGTGGCCATGACCTAGGACCACGTGAGACCATACCCAAACCCAGGCAAAGGGACGTGGAACTGGAGCAGAAGCTCCATTAGGAACCACGTCCCTGGGCTTCTATGCCTCTGGCTGCCTTCTCACCTTGCATCCCAGCAGGGCTGACAGCTCCTGGGCTTTGCTGTGTTGTAAGATGTTCCCAGCATTTGTGACAAAAACCACGGGCACCCGCAGCTGCCCCTGGGAGTTCATCAGCCTTCGGAAGGCTTCCAAAGCAGCAGGGATCACTCTGTGGCCCCGGACAAGCACTCCATCGATGTCCAACAGGAACCCAAAGGTGGGTGGGCTCTGCAGAGATGGTAAGATAATTACCACTACGTGAGCCAAGAGGCAGGGGGAGGGCAAAGAAATAACCGTTACAGAGAGAGGCTCAACGCCACCCTCAGGTCGCTGACGGCCCTTGAAAACCTATGTCAGAAAGAACAAAGAAATGAAGACAAGGGATTCTGATAGGGTAAAAGTCCATCTATAACAAGAATTATTCCGTTTTCATGTTTTTCTAAACACATAACTACAGTGTTAAATTATTCCTGCGTAAATAAGAAGGCAAATTTTTTTTTTTTTTTTTGAGATAGGACCTCGCTCTGTTGCCCAGGCTGGAGTGCAGTGCTGCCATCTTGGCTCACTGCAACCTGCACTTTCCCGGCTCAAGCGATCCTCCCACCTCGGCCTCCCGAGTAGCTGGGACTGCAGGCAACACTACCTCGCCCAGCTAATCTTTGGTATTTTTAGTAAAGATGAGGTTTCGCCATGTTGCCAGGCTATTCTCAAACTCCTGGACTCCAGCAATCCGACCACAATGGCTTCCCAAAGTGCTAAGATTACAGGCATGGCCACCACGCCCAGCCTAAGCAATTTTTTAATTAGAAAATAAAGAAATCCAAAGAAAATATAATCCCAACACTTTTTTTAATTATTTATTTTTACAGATAGTCTTCCTGTCACCCAGACTGGAGTACAGTGGCATGATCATGGCTCACTGCAGCCTTGACCCCCCACTGCCCTGGGCTCAAGGGATCCTCCCACCTCAGCTTCCCAAAGTGGTGGGATTATTAGGCGTGAGCCACGAAGTCCAGCCTAATCCCAACACTTTTTTTTTTTTTTTGAGACGGAGTTTCGCTCTTGTTACCCAGGCTGGAGTGCAATGGTACGATCTCGGCTCACCGCAACCTCCGCCTCCTGGGTTCAGGCAATTCTCCTGCCTCAGCCTCCTGAGTAGCTGGGATTACAGGCACGCGCCACCATGCCCAGCTAATTTTTTGTAGTTTTTAGTAGAGACGGGGTTTCACCATGTTGACCAGGATGGTCTCGATCTCTTGCCCTCGTGATCCACCCGCCTCGGCCTCCCAAAGTGCTGGGATTACAGGCGTGAGCCACCGCGCCCGGCATCCCAACACTTTAAAACAACCAATTAATAGTTTCCTTTTTTTCTCTTCTTATATTCCTCTTGTAGCTACAACTATGCCATATATATTTTGCATCATCTTCTTTTTTGCTTGACATATCATAAATATGTTTACGCATTACAATCGCCTTTATAACAATCTTTGAGGATTTTATTATAGCAAAAAGTTTTTTTAAAAAAAAACCTCAATCACTACAGACAATATAAAAATGATACAAAATTTCTTGTCTGCATCTTATCTAGTCCTATTCTCTTTGTTTTCCAGCAGACTTTTATAAACCTATAGTACACACACCTTTCTAATCTTAGCACACACAGAATCATGTTACTTTGTTAGTTGGTATCTCTTGGCTCACTGCAACCAGTGAGCTGCGGATGGCCTTCCTCCTGCTTGACATGGTGGACCTGGAGCAGTGGCCAAAGATCACGGTAATAAGGGGCACAGGTTGGGCTGTGTGTGTGTGTTTTTTTTTTTTTTTTTTTGAGACAGAGTCTTGCTCTGTTGCCCAGGCTGGAGTGCAGTGGCGTGATCTCAGCTCACCGCAACCTCCACCTCCCGGGTTCAAGCGATTCTCCTGCTTCAACCTCCCAAATAGCTGGGATTACAGGCATGTGCTATCACGCCTGGCTGATAGTTGTATTTTTAGTGGAGACAGGTTTCTGCCATGTTGACCGGGCTGGTCTGGAACTTTTGACTTTAGGTGATCTGCCTGCTTCAGCCTCCCAACGTGCTGGAATTACAGGCTTGAGCCACTGTGTCCCACCCGATCTTTCCATATTAATTACACAAGCTCTATTTCCTAAACGTCATTTCTGGCTACATACTATTCTGAGTGAAGAATTCACTAACACTATTCCCTATATTTTGGACAGTTAGGTTTTTCCACATTTTTGCCCCATGAAAAATAATGCTACAAGAAACCTCTTCATGAATACTGATTTTTCCCATGTTATGGATATTTCCTTGAGCTAGATTCTTAAAAGTAGGAGTAATAAATCAGAGAGAGCAAATTTAATTACCCAAACACCTACTGACAAACTGTTGTCCAAAAGCATCTATCAACTCACACATCCACCGGCAATGTACTTCACCCTTACAACATTGATTTCCACAACGATCTGTTTGTTAATTATCAAACTTTTTGTTAATTTAAAGTAAAAAAAATGTATCTCTTCTTTTTCTACATTTCCTGGATTTATAAAGTTGGATATTCTTTTTAAAAATCATTCCATTTCTCTTTTTATAAACTGCTAACATACAAGATGTCCTTCGGTCATCAAAAAAAACTAACCTAACTTGTTTGCTATTTTTCTTTTCTTGGTGCCAACTAGGTCAAGTCATTCTTTTTTTTTTTTTTAAGACAGAGTTTCCCTCTTGTTACCCAGGCTGGAGTGCAATGGCACAATCCCAGCTCACTGCAATCTCCATCTCCCGGGTTCAAGGGATTCTCCTATCTCAGCCTCCCAAGTAGCTGGGATTACAGGCATGTGCCACCATCACCAGCTAATTTTAAAAATTAGAGACAGGGTTTCCCTATGTTGATCAAGCTGGTCTCTAACTCCTGACCTCAGGTGATCTGCCCGCCAAGGCCTCCCAAAGTGATGGGATTACAGGCGTGAGCCACTGTGCCTGGCCCTAGGTCAAGTCATTCGTATTGATATACCTAATCTATGCACAGAGCTCCCTTTATAAACAGCGATCAGAATCAGAAATGGTGCTCCAGGCCAGCTGCAGTGGCTCAGGCCTACAATCCCAGCACTTCCGGGGCCTGAGGAGAGCGGATCACTTGAGGTGAGGAGTTCAAGACCAGCCTGGCCAACATGGTGAAACCCTGTCTTTACTAAAAATACAAAAATTAGCCAGGCATGGTGGCGGGCGCCTGTCATCCCAGCTACTCAAGAGGCTGAGGCAGGAGAATCATTTGAACCTGGGAGGCGGAGGCTGCAGTGAGCCTAGATGGTGCCATTGCACTCTAGCCTGGATGACAAAGCTAGACTGCGTCTCAAAAAAAAAACAACAACAACAAAAAAAATGGCACTCCAGTTCCTCATTTCTTAGCTAGTGTGACAGGGCAAGCAACCAGTCTAGAAAGCAAACTCTCTAAGAGGGCAGCATTTTTGCAAGTACAAATCAATTCTAGGTAAGTTCTAAATAAATAAACAGTAATTAAACAGAAGCAGTTTCTTAAAAGACAATTTTGAGCTGGGCAATGAAAGTGTTAAACATATCCTGTAACAGAACTCTTTGTACCCCCCCCCAAGCCAGACTAGATGAGCGCTTCCTGCCTGGCTATTTGGTTCAATGAGAAGACAATTAAACAAGCAGCCCCAGGACAGTACACAGGGAGCCCTGCACTAAGCGATGAGCCCAAACCAGGGGAACCTGACCCAGGGGTGGGGAAGACTGGCCTTAATAGGTCTTCTAGGCCAATTTAAGGAGTTTAAAAATGGAAAGTGGTATCATCAGACCGGAACTATAGAAAACAATTTGGCTGCAGAGAAAAGACTGCACTGAGTGCCCTGAAGGGAGTTAAGTCAACATAGACCAGGGGGCCAAATGCAATCCAAGACAGAGAAGACGGAGGTTTTACCTGGGGGAGTGGCAATAAGAATGGAGACCATGGGGCATTATTAGAAACAGAACAGTCATGACTTTGTAACCATCCAGATGCCAGGGTTAGGGGAGCAGAGAGCCACACGGACTCCCATGCTTTTTTATTTTGGCCTGGGAACCCAGGAAGATGGATGCTGGTGTCAGTCACTGAACCAAGGGGCACAGTAGGAGCAAGCAGTGAGATCAGAGGAGGACAAAAGGTAAGTCCCACTTTGGAGCTGGGAGACAGGCAAGTGGAGACATCAGCACTGGACAGAAGGTCCTGGAGATGAAAAATCTGGAAGGTCTCTGCCGTCAGAGAACCAGGAAGAAAACACCACTTCATAATGGAGCACGCAAGACCTGCCAGCAAACGACAGTGCAAGGAGGAAAACCAAGAGCATGTGGGGTCAAGGAAGCTGAGGGGTGTCTCTGGGTCCCATGAAATAGGGACTGGAGTGGCTGTAATGATCCCATCCCCCTTCCACTGAACAGGCAAGACCCCCAGGAGAGGGGTCTTGAGACCTTCCAGCTCCACCATGCTAGCTTGTGCATGAGGCCTCTCAGCTTGAACAATGACAGCTCTGGCGCCAAGCTGGAGGGGGGCAGGGACACTGGAAACAGGAGGAAGCAACTCGAGCCAACAAAACATCACACCTGGACACCACAAAACAGCTGCCAAGAGAGCTGACCAAGCCCCACATGCCACACAGGAAATGCCTAGACAAATGCTGCCACTAACCCTTGGCTCCACAGGTTTATGCTGTGGCACCCAGACCTGTCACTGCCCCAGGCACTCAGCCAGACATACGACAAAGGCGTTTTTATGTATTCTTTGTACCAGCCCTTTGGGGAAGTGTCAGCATCTCCAAATGGCCTTGCCTAGCAAAATGTGCCTGGCTTATACAAGGTGTTCAATATACATCAACTAAATTACCTGACTGGACAAATAAAGACACAACCTCAGAGAGAACGCAGCAAGGGTCACCCAGTTCACAAGCGCTAGATTCAGGATTCAGCCTCTCAAGTTCAGCTGGCAACTCGGCAGCACCTCAGAGAAAACAAGGGACCCAAGGACTGCTTCTCCCACCTCCTGCCAGCCCCCAGCTGTGACTTACAGTTCTTCCCTCTCTTCGGTATATTCATGTACCCTCCAGGATCCCTGGAGCCACTCCCTATTCCCCAAGAAATCTCACTAGAATGGGGGTCCTAACCTGGACCCATAGATAAGATTTCAGGATGGCCATAAATCCCCTTAAAACTCTACATGCGAGCTAGGTGCGACTGCTCACGCCTGTAATCCCAGCACTTTGGGAGGCCAAGGCGGGCGGATCACAAGGTCAGGAGTTCGAGACCAGCCTGGCCAACGTGGTGAAACCCATCTCTACTCAAAAATACAAAAATTAGCCGGGTTTGGTGGTGCACACCTGTAATCCAGCTACTTGGGAGGCTGAGGCAGGAGAACTGCTTGAACCTGGAAGGCGGAGGTTGCGGTGAACCAAGAGTACACCACTGCACTCCAGCCTGGGCGACAGAGGGACACTCCCTACTTAAAAAAAAACAAAAACAAAAACAAAAACACCCTGCATGCAAGCTGGGCACAGTGGCTCATGCCTGTAATCCCAGCACTTTGGGAAGCCGAGGCGGGTGGATCACGAGGTCAGGAGATGGAGACCATGATGACCAATATGGTGAAACCCTGTCTCTACTAAAAATACAAAAATTAGCTGGGCGTGGTGGCAGGTGCCTGTAATTCCAGTTACTCAGGAGGCTGAGGCAGGAGAATCGCTTGAACCAGGGAGTTGGATGTTGCAGTGAGCCCAGATCACACCACTTCACGCCAGCCTGGCAACAGAGCGATACTCCATCTTAAAAAATATTAAAAACAATGCTACATGCATTATTCCTGGGAAAAGTAACCATAGCACTTTTCAGATTTCATTTTCTTATTCTTCTCAAGCAGAATCACTACCTAGGCCTATAGAGAGACGGGGATGTGATCTGTCCTTTACCCCCATACCTGGCACAGTGCTAACACTCACAGGTGCTCGACAAAGGCTCCACACATTACTGCCTCCTAGGGACCTTACAACGGGACATGGTGTGGAGAGGGAAGACAGGGACATTGATTACCTGACCTGACCCTGTGTAGGCCTGGGCTAGTATGTGTGTTAACAAAAGTTTGAAAAAAAGCTATAGAACGATGATATAAATGAAGGTATTTAGTACAGTTGTACAATGTGTTGTGTTTTAAGCTAAGTGCTATTACAAAAGAGTAAAGAGTTTTAAAAATTAAAAACTTCGTAGAGCAAAAATGTTACACTAAGCTAAGTTTGTTTTTTTTTTTTTTTTTTTGAGACGGAGTCTCACTCTTGTCACCCAGGCTGGAGTGCAGTGGTGCGATTTCGGCTCACTGCAACCTCCGCCTCCCGGGTTCAAGCCATTCTCCTGCCTCAGCCTCCCTAGTAGTTAAGACAACATGCGTATGCCAACATGCCGGGCTAATTTTTTGTATTTTTAGTAGAGACGGGGGTTTCACCATGTAGCCAGGATGGTCTCGATCTCCTGACCTCGTGATCCACCCCCTCGGTCTCTCAAAGTTTTGGGATTACAGGCGTGAGCCACCACGCCTGGCCTATTTTTTTTTTTTTTTTTTTTTTGGATACAGAGGCTCGCTCTGTTGCGCAGGCTGGAGTGCAGTGGCCCGATCTCCGCTCACTGCAATCTCAGTCTCCCAGTTTCCAGGAGCCGCCAGCGCTCGGGAGGGATCGCGGGAGCCGGGCTGAACCCAGCGCACGCACCAAACCCACACGCGCCTGGGGGCGGCGCACCCGCAGGCGGGGCTCCCGGCGCGGGTCCCAGTCTTCTCCACGTGAAGCTGAAAATCACCGCCCAAACGTCCTCATGGTGGAAATCGGAGGCGGGCAGGGAAAACAGGGACGCGGAAACCGCCGGGGCTGACGAGCAGCCTGGCCGGGGCCGTCCCGACCAGCGCTCTCCCGCGGGGGAAGCGTTTCCGAGGCCGCCGGTGAATCAGGGGAGGCCGGGCACTTCAGACCCCCGCAAGAGCGAGATGCAGTCGGGCGCGACGGCGGTCCAGGCCGTTCCCAGGTGGCCAGGGAGGCCAGCCCGGCCGCCCCTCCTTCCCCGCCCCGCCGCCGGCCCTGAGTGGCGAGCGGCTCGGCCGGAACCCAGGCGTCCTCACCTGAGCGGGGCCCACAGCATAGCCCCTGCGGCAGCTGCTGCCTGGCAGCCCAGCAGCCGCGCGCGCCGGCCGCCAGTAGAGCCCGCGCGCCGCGCCGAGCGCAGCCACACAGCCCCACGCAGCCATCCGGCGGTCGCTGCGTGCACGTGCACAGCGTGCCGCCAGCCCTCGAGTTCGCTCGCCGCGCAGCCAATCAGCGGCCGATGCGCGCGGCATCTCGGGAGTTGTAGTCCGGTAAGCGCGCGGAGTCCGGCGGGCGCCAACGGAAGTCGACCCGCGCGCCGAAGGGGCTTCGTTGCAGCGAAGAAGTGCGGGGCCCGCCGCCTCGTAGACCGAGATCGCGGTGAGCGGGCCGCGGCGCACGATGGGCACCGCCGGGGCGGCGGCGCCTGCGCTGTCTCCCCGCGCCTGCGGATCCCGGGAACACGCGCGGCAGGCCCCAGAGCGGCCTCCCTCAGTTCACGGACTGTGCGCCGGGGGTCTCCACCTTGACAACAGGGCGCGGTCGCTGGGGCCGACCCTTAGTGATGTCCAGTCCTCTGAGCCCCTGTCAGTCAGGGGACGCCCGTCGCGCGCCAACTGTTCAGTCTTTTATTGTTTCTGTAAACCCGCTGACGCCCACCCGGCACCTGGGGAGACTGCACCCGTGAGTCCGCCCCTGTGCGCCCTGTGGAGAGGTAGAGGCAGGACTGTCGTGCAAGGTAGAAAATAACCGCCCCGGGCTGGGCGCGATGGCGCACGCCTGTAATCCCACCACTTTGGGAGGCCGAGGCGGGTGGATCACCTGAGGTCAGGAGTTCAAGACCAGCCTGACCAACATGGTGAAACCCCGCCTCTAGTAAATACAAAAAAAAAAAGAAAGAAAAGAAATAAATTAGTCGGGTGTGGTGGCACACACCTGTAATCCCAGCTACTCGGGAGGCTGAGGCAGGAGAATTGCTGGAACCCGGGTGGTGGAGGTTGCAGTGAGCCCAGATCGTACCATTGCACTCCAGCCTGGGCAACGAGAGCGAAACTCTGTCTAAAAAATAAATAAATAAATAAAATAACTGCCCCAGAGAGAGCCAGATGACTAAGTCAGCAAACACCTATGAAACACGGCTGAGTCCGCTGTGCGGCTCCCGGGGTGAATGAGCAAAGAATGGGCTTCGGTCACTGAGAGCAGATAGCAAGCCGACTCCGTCCGTGGAGGCCCTTAGCAGAGCTGCATCTAGTAGTCCCCCGGTGATGAGGGAGATTGTGCTGCAGGAAAGAGAAGTCTCCGTTCCCACCGTTTGAAATGTGTAGGATGCTCTCTTCAGATTCTTTGGCCTGTTGATACATAGAACTGCTAAAAACGGAGGAGCCTGCTATGTATTTAGGACTAGCAGAGAGGAAGGGAGTGGAAGGTACGGACAGAGACTACTAACTCACAGGTTAGCAGGCCGGGGTGCGGTGGCTCACCCCTGTAATCCCAGCACTTTGGAAGGTCAAGGCAGGAGGAACCCTTGAGCCCAGGAGTTCCAGACCAACCTGGGCAACATAGGGAGACCCCCTTCTCTATTTTTAAAATAATAAAAATAAGAAGTTAGCAGTGTTCTTTGGTTCTCAGCTTTAAAAGGCAAGATCTTAATTCAGTTCAACCACAGTTGATCTGAATTTGGAACATTAACTCACATAAGTCAAACTCACAATCGCCCAACACTTAAACCCTGCCAGGGACATAGCTTTCTTGGATTGCAAAGTTTCTAATCCCTTCCTATGATTAAACTACCTAGAAACTGATTTAGTCATTAGAAATTTCTTGGTATAATGGTTTTTTTTTTTTTTTTTAAAGATGGGGTTTCACCATATTGGTCAGGCTGGTCTCGAACTCCTGACCTCAGGTGATCTGCCCACCTCAGACTCCCAAAGTACTGGGATTACAGGCGTGAGCCACCGTGCCCAGTGGTATAGTGGTGTTTTTGTTTTTTTTTTTTTTTTTTGAGACGGAGTTTCGCTCTTGTTACCCAGGCTGGAGTGCAATGGTGCGATCTCGGCTCACCGCAACCTCCGCCTCCTGGGTTCAGGCAATTCTCCTGCCTCAGCCTCCTGAGTAGCTGGGACTACAGGCACGCGCCACCATGCCCAGCTAATTTTTTGTATTTTTAGTAGAGACAGGGTTTCACCATGTTGACCAGGATGGTCTTGATCTCTTGACCTCGTGATCCACCCGCCTCGGCCTCCCAAAGTGCTGGGATTACAGGCTTGAGCCACCGCGCCCGGCCTATAATGGTTTTTAAATAGGCCCACAGTTTTTTTGACAATTCATTCCTTAAAAGCTCAGCCAGGCAGGGTGGCTCACACCTGTAATCCCAGCACTTTGGGAGGCCAAGACAGGTGGATCACCTGAGGTCAGGAGAACAAGTCTGGCCAACATAGTGAAACCCCATCTCTACTAAAAATATGAAAATTAGCCAGGCATAGTGTTGTGCACCTGTAATTGCAGCTACTCAGGAGGCTATGGCAGGAGAATCACTTGAAGTGGGGGTGCCTCACACTTGCAGTGAGCTTAGACCACGCCCCACCTTGACTGACATTTTATAAAGAACATGGGGACGGGCATGGTGGTTCATGCCTGTAATCCTAGCACTTTGGGAGGCCAAGATGGGTGGATCACCTGAGATCAGGGGTTCAAGACCAGCCTGGCCAATATGGTGAAACCTTGTCTCTACTAAAAATAAAAAGAACTAGCCGGGCGTGGTGGCAGACACCTGTAATCCTAGCTACTCAGGGGGCTGAGGCAGGAGAATCGCTTGAACCTGAGAGGCAGAGGTTGCAGTGAACCGAGATCATACCATTGCACTCCAGCCTGGGTAGGGGGAGTGAAACTCCGTCGCAAAAAAAAAAAAAAGGCAACACTAATGATCCGAACAGCTTCCTGAATTTGTGTTGTCTCACAGAAAGCCTTATCATAAGTTCCATAATTGTAATTAATCTACCAAGATAATGTAATTACATTTGGTTTTGTAAGGTATACAACAGTGATCTCCTATTTTGCTGTCAGTTTTTCAGTAAAGTTTTGATTATGGGCAAAAAAAAAAAAAAATCTCATCTATCTATCTCCTATCCATCTATCTATGTATCTATCTGCATGCTATAAGTTGGATCTCTGGAGAACCTGACTAATACAGTTAGGATGCAAAGAGGAAGGGACACCCCCCGTTAAATGGTCCTGCTGAAAGAATCAATCCTAAATCTTAACAAGACTTGAGATCCAGGCGGGGCACAGTGGCTCAGGTCTGTAATCCCAGCACTTTGGGAGGCCGAGATGGGCAGATCACTTGGGGTCAGGAGTTCGAGACCAGCCTGGACAACATGGTGAAACCCCATCTCTACTAAAAATATAAAAATTCACTGGGCATGGTAGCTCACACCTGTAATCCCAGCACTTTGGGAGGCAGGTGGATCACCTGAGGTCAGGAGTTCTAGACCAGCCTAGCCTACTAAAACTACAAAAATTAGCCAGGCATGATGGCGTGCACCATGCTACTTAGGAGGCTGAGGCAGGAGAACTGCTTGAACCTGGGAGGCAGAGGTTGCAGTGAGCCGAGATCGTGCCATTGCGCTCCAGCCTGAGAGACAAGAGCAAAGACTCTGTCTCTAAAAAATAAAATCACTACAAAAATTAGGCTGAGCACCGTAGCTCACACCTGTAATCCCAGCACTTTGGGAGGCTGAGGTGGGAAGATCATGAGGTCAGGAGCTCAGAGTTTGAGACTAGCCTGGACAACATGGTGAAACCCCATCTCTACTAAAAATACAAAAGTTAGCGGGGTGTGGTGGCTTGTGCCTGTAGTCCCAGCTACTTGGGAAGCTGAGACAGGAGAATTGCTTGAATCCAGGAGGTGGAGGTTGCAGTGAGCCAAGATTGTACTATTGCACTCCAGCTCTGAGCAACAGAGCAAGACTCCCTCTCGGAAAAAAAAAAATAATAATAATAATAATACAATAATTAGCCAGGCATGATAGTGTGCACCTGTCGTCCAGATGAGGCAGGAGAATCGCCTGAACCCAGGAGATGGAGGCTGCAGTGAGTTCAGATGTGCGACTGCACTCCAGCCTGGGGAACAGAGTAAGACTCTGTCTCAAGGCTGGGCGTGGTGGCTCACACCTGTAATCCCAGCACTTTGGGAGGCCGAGGCAGGTGGATCACGAGGTCAAGAGATCGAGACCATCCTGGTCAACATGGTGAAACCCCGTCTCTACTAAAAACTACAAAAAATTAGCTGGGCATGGTGGCGCGTGCCTGTAATCCCAGCTACTCAGGAGGCTGAGGCAGGAGAATTGCCTGAACCCAGGAGGCGGAGGTTGCGATGAGCCGAGATCGCGCCATTGCACTCCAGCCTGGGTAACAAAAGCGAAACTCCGTCTCAAAAAAAAAAAGACTGTCTCAAAAAATGAGCTCAGAACAGTGTGGATACTGTGCTGTCTTTTATATCAGAGTGGGGAAAGCAATATATATTTTCTTTTGTTTATTTTGCATAAAGAAACACAAGAAACTAGCCTGGTGGGAGAATGTGTGGGATGGGAAAGAGGACGGTGGAAAACAGTGGTGGGCACAAGCCTTTCCAATGTGTTCCTTTTCATAGTTTTGGAAATCTTGAAATGCGATTTATATAGATTCACGTTTTAATTTTAAATGTAATTAAAATTTAAAATTAATTACGGCACTACTCTCCCATCCTGCACTATGAGCTATACCCGGCTTTTGTTTTTTTTTTTTTTTTTAATTTTTTTTTTTTTTTTTTGAGACAGAGTCTTGCTCAGCCTCCAGGCGCCAGGCTGGAGTGCAGTGGCTCGATGTCGGCTCACTGCAACCTCCGCCTTCCGGATTCAAGCAATTCTCCTGACTCAGCCGCCCGAGTAGCTGGGACTACAGGCACGTGCCACCATGCCCAGCTAATTTTTGTACTTTTAGTACTTTTTTAGTACTAATTTTACTAATTTTTGTACTTTTAGTTTCACCATGTTGGCCAGGATGGTCTCGATCTCTTGACCTCGTGATCCACCCGCCTGGGCCTCCCAAAGTGCTGGGATTACAGGCGTGAGCCACCACGCCCGGCTTGTTTTTTGTTTTTTAAGAGACAGTCTGCTGTGTTCCCCAGGCTGGTCTAGAACTCCTGGG